CCGAGTGCAGAGGCCGTGTGTGTGTCTGCAGGAGTACGAGGCCGCCGTGGAGCAGCTGAAGAGCGAGCAGATCCGCGTGCAGGCCGAGGAGCGGAGGAAGACCCGGAGCGAGGAAGCACGCGGACAGCACCAGGCGTGAGTGGCGCTGTGTTTCCTGGACTACTCGGGGCCGTGGAGAAATGACAGATGGGAGAGCTGGCTGCTAGCTCGGGGTCTCCATTTTTGGCCGAGTGAGGGTCTACAGCAGGTGTCAGCTCTTATAGCACCCCTCATGCTAAGCAGAGCAGGGACGGGGCGTGTCCAAGAGTTCTGTGTATATCTAGGGAGGTGGAGCAGTTCATCTGGGGCCCCAGTGCCAGATCGAGTCTTGGGCCCAGCTGAAGCTGTGTCTCGGTGCACTCTCCTTCCCCAGAGGGGCCCAGTCACAGGATATTGCTGTGCCTTTCTTTTCTTTTTTTTTAGACTTCTTTTGCAGCTTGCTATCTGTAGGACCAGCATCATGAGGCAGTCTAGAGTGAGCTGGCACTCCTCCCGGCAGGGGCTGGGCCTTGTCGCGCCTCTCTGAGAGTCTAGTTTCAATTTTTGTTGAGTTGTACCATAATGGTGGGTGCGGCTATAGGGACTGGTTCTAGATGTGGCCTCGATATGGTGCAGGGCCGAGACACGTGGGCTGTTACTAGTGGTACGGTGTTATTGGTCTCCAGTCGGATAATCATGTTTGAGTCACGGCCACTTGTATGGCATCACGTCTAGTATGGCTATGTAGTGATTTTGCTGGTGTATTGTGTGCTGTTTTTTTTTGGACTTATTAGTAGTATGTTGTTAATATAATGTGTATATTTTTTTGGCTGATTTATGCAACACGGGCACTATCACGCGGACATGCAGCCTCCACGCATCAAAGTAACTTCCTCAAGGTGTTCTCTCATTATATTTGATTTGATGGGATGTGGTGTGTGTGTGTTGCTTGACAAGTGTTGAGTGAATCTAAATCATTCGTATGGGATACCTGTATATTGTCTGTGTGAGGGGTGTTGTTTGGTGAAAGTGTATGGTGGACGGTGTTCTGTGAGGCGATATGGGGTCACCGGGCTAGATTGGAGAGATATAAACTCTTTCACCTCTCTCCCGGAAAAAAAAAAAAAGAAAAAAAAAGAAAGAAAGAAACCACACTTGTTGCCTGAATTCTGGGAGCAGAGTGCTTCACCTACCACTTGGGTGGGGCCTGCTCTGGGACTCAGGCCCCTGCTCCTGCTGGCCTGGGATCCCAGGGGCAGCTGTGTCTCCCCTACCTCCTGCCTTGGCTCAACGCTGGAGGCTAGGCTGTCCACTTGCACCTTTAACCTCTGCAGTCTCTCCTCCAGGTCATCAGTGCTGGAGGGGAATCGGCCAGGGGAATCCCAGCAGTGACACAGTACAGCACAAGCAGCAGAGAACTTCACGTTTGTCAGTTAAATGTAGAAAAAGCACCTTTCTCATTCCATTTTATTGGCTCAGTGTCATTAAGAAGGGTGTATCTGTCCTCCTGAATGGCTTCCAGTCTAAGGTTGAAGTAACCTTTGGAAGCTCATCAGAGAGTGGGAAGTGTGCAGTGGCACTCTTTGGAGGCAGGGGGTTTACTTCTGCTCTCTTTCAATATCTCTTTAAAGCAATTACATAAACCATAAGCCAGCATATTTTCTGTTTTTTAAATTAAGCCTAGTTATATGAAACTGGCTATTTAAAATGCAGAATTTATAAAAGACACCAGCTAGCTGATGCAGTGGCTCATGCCTGTAATCCTAGCACTCCGGGAGGGAGGATCACTAGAGTCCAGAAGTATGAGGCTGCAGTGAGCTATGATGATGGCACTGCACTCTATCCAGGCAACATATCAAGACCCTGTCTCAAAAATACAATAAAATAAAATTTCAAAGACAGAAGCTTTCCAAATAGCTGCCTGGGGAGCTGCCTGGAGCTGGGGGCGGGCAGATGGCTGCCGTGGAAGAGGACCTCAGTCTCCCACTCATGTCCTCTTCTTTGCCCATCCAAGCCCTGTGGGCGGGATGCTTTGCAGCTAGTCCATAAAAACCCTGATGGTGGCCACTGGGGGCATCTGGCTATCGCTGTCAGTCATTTGGCTTTTCTCTTTATGTAGGGGGGGAAAAATCACAAAATTATCTTAGAATTTCAAATTTTTTCCTATTTTTGTGGACACTTATAATTGTTTTCAATGTAGTGAGAAAAGTCAGTCCATACATCTCTGTAAGCTCAACCAGTTCCATCAAAGAAAGAAACAAGGCTGGACCCAGTGGCTCACGGCTGAAATCCTAGCACTCTGGGAGGCCAGGGTGGGTGGATAGTTTGAGCTTAGGAGTTCGAGACCAGCCTGAGCAAGAGCGAAACCCAGTCCCTACTAAAAAATAGAAAGAAATTAGCTGGACAACTAAAAATAAATAGAAAAATTCAGCAGGGCATGGTGGCGCGTGCCTGTAGTCCCAGCTACTCGGGAGGCTGAGGCAGGAGGATTGCTTGAGCCCAGGAGCTTGAGGTTGCTGTGAGCTAGGTTGACGCTGGGACACTCTAGTCCAGGCAGCAAAGTGAGACTCTGTTTCAAAAAAAAAAAAAGGGGGGGGGTCAACTGGAACACTGGGGCCAGAGCCACTCTGGGTGCTGTGATTCCGGACCGACGCCTGGCCCTGGCCCCTGCAGCAGGACAGCGGCCACCAAGGTGGAGCTCTCGCCGGCCGGCCCCTCCGCCCTACGGGGCTCCTCTGCGGGGCCCTGGGGAGCGGCTGCCCCACTTCCCCGAGCCTCGGGGTTGGGGCTCTCGGCCACCGCCCTCTGCGGGCCAAACGGGGCCACGCAGCCACGGACCCCGAAGGTTTGCGGCGACACCAAAGGGGAAGACGGGGAGCGCCGGTCCACAGTCGCATGGAGCGCCTGCTGTATGCGCCGGGCTCAGAGACCCAGCGTGCGCAGCCTCAGTCCTCCATGGTGGCTCCCGGGTCGCCGAGCCCCCACGCCGGCCCCGGCCCGGGTGAGGTTCGTCCCGGATTCTCCGCGGCCGCGCCCAGGGTTCCCTGGGCACCCGCCCCTCCGCCGCCCGGCTTGCGCTCCACGGGCGCCATAGCAACGGAGTCCTGTGTCCTTGCTGAGCGGAACTGACGAAACCAGGGTGCGCACACGCCCACGCCAGCAATTTTGCCCCTGCATGGCTCCCGTAAACAGGCGCTTCGACCCGCCCCCCAACCCTCAGGCCCGCTCGGGCAATCGCGGCGCCGACGTCGATGGCGTCACGATCCTCGCGGCCAATCCGAGGGCTGAGGGCCGCGTGGCCCTCGCGAGCTTCCGTCGCCCGGGAGGCGGGCATGTGTCGCGCCTGCGCGGTGGCCCTGCCCGCCGGCTCGCGGCGCGTGGAGGCTACTCCGAGCCGCGCGCTAGTCACGTTTGGGTCCGGGTTCCACGGCTGCGGTGGCGTGCGGGGCTCCAGGTCATGTCGTGGCTCTTCGGCCTCAACAAGGGCCCCAAGGGTGAAGGCGTGGGGCCGCCGCTGCCCTTGCCGCCCGCACAGCCCGGGGCCGAAGGCGGAGGGGACCGCGGCGCGGGAGACCGGCCGGCGCCCAAGGACAAATGGAGCAACTTCGACCCGACGGGCCTGGAGCGCGCGGCCAAGGCGGCGCGTGAGCTGGAGCACTCGCGTGAGTGTGGGCCAGGCGGGGCCGGGCGGCCGAGGGCCCCGGGGAGTGGGAGGCTCCACGGCGGAGCGCCAGAGCCGAGCGCTCGAGGGGCGGTCGACCCCTTGCCCGTCCAAGCAGTCGGGCGAGGAAGTGGCTTGGGCAACCCCACTTCTCAGGTGAGGAAACTGGCCTCCGGGAGGACCCTGGGTCAAAGCCCACTTGCATGCCGGCAGGTTCAGAGTCTATCACCCTTTTGCACGTTCCTAGCTGTCACGAGCACGTCAGGCGAGGAAACCGGTGCGGAGGTAACTTTCAGAGGTTACAGGCATCAGGTCCTGGGCTGGACCGTGGATTTCACTGACTGCCGAGTGCCTGATATCCTTCCTCTCTTGCTGCCTCCACGTGGGACGGGCCAAGGCGTAGCTAGAACGGTAGATCCGTTTGTTCGGTGGTTGCTAGCAATTTTCTACTTAACGAGGGAAGCATATTTGAGTTAATGGCTTTAACGAGAATATAACAGATTTGCACTTATTATTGGAAAACGTGAGTGTTTCCATAGGCAAGGGTCGGTAAAGCGACAGGCCAGACGGTGCTGACCCAGCCTGGTGACTCTCCCTGACCCAGGGCCCTCATGGTGTCAGCAGTGACTACTTTCTCTGGGCCCAGGTTTCTTCCCCTAACCTTCCTTTCTGCCTTGGCTTTAAGGATTTGTATCAGTTGTGGTTTAAGTGTTCAGGAGCCTGGGACGTATAAGATATTGAATAAACACTGATTGATGGAATACAGTGGTTCTCATTCTTTTGTTTAAGCAGGGGCTTCTTTTTTTTCAAAGATCCTGTGGGGAAGCCTCGGTATGAAGCAACTATAAGCAGAGTTTTCCTGTTTAAGACGGGAGAGGTCCTGGCACTTGTTGGAAGGATTCTCCTCCCCTTCCCCAGGGGCCTACAAAAATGCCCTGGACAGTGGTCTCTGGGTCTGGCTGAGGGACATCTAAGATATTAAGATTTAGGCCCAGGACCAGGCCAACATATTATTAGTCCTGGCTGGGCTCCCTTTGCCCCCAGGTGTTTTTGGTTGTTTTGTTTTTCTTAAGAGACTTGGTCTGGATATGTTGCCCAGGCTGGCCTCGAATTCGTGGGTGCAAATGATACTCCTGCCCCAGCATCCTGAGTAGCTGGGACGATAGACATATGCCCCTGTGCCTGGTTTGCCCCTAGCTGTTTTAAGCTTGCTAGATAATTTTAATGTTCAGGTTGGGATGGGGATCAAGGCTGGGCTTCAAAGTACTTAAGACTATGGCAGGTTTTGACAGATGAGCTCATTTCTTGTTACAGGGTTAGCTGGGGGACCGCTTTTTGTCCCAGCTCTTGAGGGGTTTACCCACTAACCATACCTAGAGTTTGAAAGTTCTCCCGCTATTGAAAGCTGAATCTTGACCCGTGCATCCCCCCCACCCCCATGTAGTTATGCTGGTTTCTGTGAGTGGTCCAAGGTGCATCTGAGAGGAACAGCTGGGGGCTTCCTCTCCATCCTGCCTCTGAATTGTTCCCCAGTCCTGGCCACCCCAGAGCTCCTGCCCTGGGACATTGTCCACCTGGATCTCCAGTGCCTTGGCCTTTACTCTCCCAAACTGAGCCCTCATTTCCCAGCCATGCAGGGTATCCTGCGGAGCCTGGGATGCCCAGTCTGCAGGCCTGGCCCCCCACCTCGCCAGTCTTCCCTTCCTGTGGATTCTGTGCCAGGTGTGGGTTTTTTTTTCATCCTGCGCTTGACCCCGGCTTACTGCTGCTCTGAGGGTGTCTCTGGACCAACTTTCTGATCCCAATCTCTCTCCAGGGTGGCCTCCTGCCGTGCCTGTAGCCCTTGGCACCGACCTTTCTGGGCACTGCCGGCTCCTGGGCCTGGATTCACTGGGTCCTGGCTGGTGCGGGGTGGGGGTGGGGGGTCATGTGGTTGCCTGACCTGCTTGACCTTGCGCTCCTCCAAGCATTGAGATGTCCTCAGTGCTCCTCCTCCAGCCCTGACCACCGCCCTCCTCAGGCAGCGCAATGCTGCCTCATCGGATTTCCTGACCCCCCGGCCTGTCTGAAGCCAAGCACAGCCATAAGCTGCTTCATCAGTCCCCTTGCCTGTAATCCCACAGGGGCCAAAACACTGCATGCAGCAGTCGTAATATGCTTTCACACATATCCTAGCATAGGAATTCAGGTTTGAATTACTTAACGTCATTTAACTGAGAGCTGAGATTAGGAGTAAATGATACAGCGTGATTTCTCTCATTTCATTATAAGAGCAGTGGGAGGGACTGATGCTCCATTTAGGAGGAACAGCCCAGAGATTGAGAGTGGCTTGCCAAAGTCCCTCTTGAGTAACAGGGCAGCTCGCTGGATGTGACACCAGTTCTGTTGCGCCTGATGAGAGAACACGAGCATGGCACCCTTGCTATCCAGTCAGGCAAGAGTATTAGGGCCCCCAGGGTCTGTTCAGCCCCTCAGCAGTACACACGATGGCGACATGGTGTCTTGAGTCTCCCTGCAAGGTAGGCCCTAGTGACGGCCGCGTCTGGTCACCTGGAGACCCAGGGTGTGGGTGCCAGGAGGTTGCGCGACAGGTCCTTCCCAGCTGACGCTGATGCGTAAGCCAGTCCCCAAGGCACACGCCCCACAACGTCAAACACAAAAGTGCCTACTAACGTGTCAAGTCACCTTGAAATAGCTTATGACGGCTTTATGACTCGTGTAGTTTCTGTCCAGAAAGAAAAACCCGTAAACACACCGTCGGGATGCGAGCGGGATGCTGAACCAGACGTCGAGACAGCCAGCAAATGTACCCTTGCAACAAAAAAAAAAAAAAAAAAAAAAAATTATCTAGGGTGTGGTGCTGTAGGCCCACTACCGGGAGGCGAGGCAGGAGATCCGCTTGACCCAAGACCAAAAGCACACGTGACGCACTGCACTCTAGCGCCAGGCACAGAGTGAGACTGCTAAAAAACCCAAAGGCATGGAGCAAGTGTGGCTCTAGGCGTGACGTGTTGCGTAGGTGGCCAGACTGTCCCGTGGCGCAGTTACTCTGAACCGCATGATACGCGCAGACCACAGGTAAGAGAAACAAGTGAACAAAGAACCAGCGGGAATGGAGGGAGGGGCCGTCTTCGTGTTTTTGTGTTTACGCTAGGAGTTATAGGAACATACTGAATGGGCAAACTGTCACTCAGTCAGCTAGGAAAGTGCCAATTTTTCCAGAAACCGCAGATATTGGCCGGTGTCAGTCCACCCGTGAGTCAAAATAACCCTTTGAAGATACAATGCGCATGTCGTCATAAGGTGTGACTGCGCGATTAATTCTACTATTCTCTGTATCTGCACGCGCTCGGTAGCAAATCAGACAGAGGTATTGGAAGCTAAAAAACATGAGTACGTGGAAAGTGAAGGATACTCTAGCCCTTCCTGCTTGTGAATTGGTAGGTGACTGCCACAGGACCCGTTCCTACCCCCTTGGGGGTGGGTGGTTTCTGTGTCACTCAGTGGCCCAGTATGTCCGGTGGGGGTAGGCCATTGCAAGATGTGCCCATAGGCTTTGTGGGATGGGCCAGTGCCTTTGGAGTCATTGAGTAGGCGCCAGGGATATGTGGAGTGGGCAAGGTGGGGCTGGGATTTCCAGGAAAAGCCACGCCCCCCTTGGCGACATGTCAGATGGTTAGGTAAGTGGCCACTGGCGGCTTCAGTTCGGCCTAACCCACCACCGGCCCCGTCAGCGCGCCCACAGGCCACGCGAAGGACTTGCGCTGCATCTCGCACAGAGCAGGAGCAGACGCTGCAGCTGAGCAGCGGTCCGAAGCTCAGTTGCTGGCGCGGTGCCAGCGTGGGGGGGAGGGGGTCACAAGGCACACAGGGCGGTCGTTCGGCCCAGGGTGCAGCTTGGGCAGAAGGAGGCAAAGGGAGCGCAAGAGGCACTGCGTGCGGCGCTGCGCCTGGCGCGCAGGACGCCCGGGGGACGTCTGGATCTTCGGGAGGACCGCGGCTTCCCACCAGTGCTTGGCAGGAGCCCTTGCGCCAGAGACGTGGGAGCGGCAGAGCCAGCAGCGCTGCCCCAGTCCACGTGGGCCGTGCAGGCAGTCAGGGGGGTCTGCATGCAGCACAGTCAGGAGGGGAGGTGGTGGACCCCTGGAGAAACCGACTGCGCCGTCCCGGGGCCTGTTCCCGCCTTCGGTGCGCTTCTGGCCGTGGCACACACAACAACACCAACTCTCCAGCCCTACCCGGGCCTGCCTCCCAGACCAGGCTGGGTGTGGCGAGAATGTGCAGGGGGCGGGGGGTGGTTGTCACGCAGGAGCCGGAGTGCAGAGGCCGTGTGTGTGTCTGCAGGAGTACGAGGCTGCCGTGGAGCAGCTGAAGAGCGAGCAGATCCGCGTGCAGGCCGAGGAGCGGAGGAAGACCCTGAGCGAGGAGACGCGGCAGCACCAGGCTGTGAGTGCCTGTGTTTCCTGGGCTCTCGGGGCCTGGAGTGACAGCATGGGGAGCTGGCTGCAGCTCGGGGTCTCCATTTTTGGCCGAGTGAGGGTCTACAGGGTGTCAGCTCTTATAGCAACCCCTCAGTGCTGAGCAGACGGGGCGTGTCCGTGTTTCTGGGTGTTTCTGGGAGGTGGGCAGTTCATCTGGGGCCCCAGTGCCCAGTCGAGTCTGGGCCCAGCTGAGCTGTGTCTCGTCACTCTCCTTCCCCAGAGGGCCCAGTACCAGGACCAGCTGGCCCGGCAGCGCTACGAGGACCAGCTCAGGCAGCAGGTGAGCCGGCACTCCTCCCGGCAGGGGCCGGCCTTGTCCGCCCTGAGGCATGGGCAGCCCGTGGGACTGGTCAGTGGGCCCGAGTGCAGGGCCGAGAACACGTGGGCTGTTACTAGTGGTAGGTGTTGGTCCAGCGGAACTTGACACAGACACATGTAGGCACACGCATGCAGGCACACACGGGCACTCACGCACATGCAGCCTCCACAGCATCACAGATTCCCCAGGTGTTCTGTGGGTTCTCGGCAGGTGAGAACCATCCTCCTAGGGAACCTGGCTATGACCAGGTGAGGTCATATTAGGGGGTTGGTGACGGGCTGAGGGCAGGTCCCGGGGCAGAGTAGAAAGCCTGTCACCTCTCTCCCGGTGTCGGTGCCTGCACCAGCGTGCGAGGATGCACCAGCCTCGGTCTGAGTTCACAGCAGGGTCGTCAGATGGTTTTGCCTGTCGTGGGCATCGCAGCTTTTAAGTATAATGGGCAAAAAACATGCCTGTGTGCAAACGGCTGTGAGGTGGGGCAGTGGTGTCTGGGAATCTGCCACGCGGCGACCGTATTGGCGAAGCCACCACAGAAGCTGCTTCTGCCCCCGGCCTGGGTGTGTGGACACCCCGTGCCGGCATCAGGGTGCACAGCTGCAGGCCTCCAGGGGCCAGGAAAGTCGGAGCTCTCGGAGGTGCATGGGAGCTTCCCAGCTAGGCACGGCCGAAACCTCTTAGCCTGGTGGTGAATGTTTTTCCGGTTTTAAAAGCTCTTCCTTTTCTCTGTGGCCTCTTCTCAGCAACATCTCAATGAGGAGAACTTAAGAAAGCAGGAGGAATCTGTGCAGAAGCAGGAGGCCATGCGGCGCGGTAAGTGGCCACCCCACGGGGGGTAGGGCCCTGAGGGGGCGGCGCAGAGTAGGGGGGAGCTGCCTTGGGCCCTTCAGTCCCCAAGACACGTTGAGACAGGGAGTTCCCTGAGATCCGCGTTTGAGAACTCTGCTCTTTGCAGCAGGTGGGTGTTGTTGGTCTCTATGTTTGGAGGCTGCCTCTCGCACAGGCCTCCCCCTGGGCTGCGCAGGATTGCGCAGGGAGTCCTGGGGCTGGCTCACTTGGAGGAGAAAATCCGCATTTTACTGTCCTGCGGTGAAGCTACAGTGACAGACGCGGCCACAGTGCCACGCATCCAGTAGCAGTCTGGGGTCTTGGTGCACTGGTTGGGGAGGACTTGAAACAGACACTCACCACGTTGTCATGGTGACGGGCTCCCCCGGGGGTTTGCGCTGAACGTGTTAATAAACGGGCATGTCGTCTGTCACACGTTCTGCTAGTGCTTTGGCAGCTGTGTTTCAATGTAAGCGGTTTCCTTTGCAATTCTCTGCATTCTTTTTTGGCCCTTCAAACACAGCCTGGAAGGGGTTGCCTGGCTGCAGGACAGGTCTCGGGGCTCCTCCCTCTGCTGGGGAGGGCAGCGTGTGCTCGCCAGGATGCCGGGCATGGCCCCACCGAGGTCTGCTTTGCGCACCCGCAGCCTGGGCCGAGAGGCGGGTGTGCTGTGCCTGAGCCGCCCTCCCTGCCTTTCCCTGGGGCAGCCACCGTGGAGCGGGAGATGGAGCTTCGGCACAAGAACGAGATGCTGCGCGTGGAGGCCGAGGCCCGAGCGCGGGCCAAGGCTGAGCGGGAGAACGCCGACATCGTCCGAGAGCAGATCCGCCTGAAGGCTGCGGAGCAGCGCCAGACCATCCTGGAGTCCATCACGTGAGTGCCCGGCCGGCCACAGCAGCACCCACACGGGGTACTTGCTGGTGTTGGCCGGCCCTGCTGTGCCCAGGCAGCTCGGGGCCTGGGGGGCTCTGCCCTCTGTCCTGGCAGGGCTGTCTGGGCGCCAGCTTTGGCGTGCCCTCTCAGGGCCATATGCTGCGTCAGGGTCTCACCCTGACCTGGTCACGTGGCTGTTTTCTCTTGCAGGACGGCCGGAGCCCTGTTTGGGGAAGGATTTCGTGCCTTCGTGACAGACTGGGACAGAGTGACAGCCACGGTAAACGCGCATCCCCAGCGGGTGGGAGGCTGTGGGGTGGTCCTTGAGAGCCTCCGGGCCTCTCCTGTTCTCTGACGGCTGTGCCAGCCGCCTGGTGCTCTGCTGGTGCGCCAGGTGCACTGGCACCTGGCACGGAGCAGCCCTGCTTGGCTTCCTTCTTTCTGTTCCTCCTCATCCGGGAGGAGAAAGTGTGGCTGGACGTGACAGAGCTGTAGGTTTTGTGGCATTTTGAGCAGCTCAGTGCTGACCTCAGCCGTCCTCCCTGAAAGGCTCCTGGGAAGACGGGGAGGTGCTGGAGTGTCCCCTCATCTTCCTCGGAAGTTACCTTCAGAGCGAGGTAGCCCGGCCTCCAGGGCAGTTCCCGGGAGCCCATCTATGCTCAGAGCCTGCTGTGGCGGCTCCGTGTCTCCTGGCTATGGCCCCACAGTTCACTGCCCACAGGTGTGGGTGCCCAGCATGCCTCTGGGCGTCCACAGATGTCACTGCCGACAGTGCTCACGAGAAGAGCTGTCACGGGGCGAAATGAGGAAGCTGCTCAGCAATTACGTTTTTTTTCTTTTAGAGACAGGGTCTCGCTCTGTCTCTATAGACAGAGACCAGGCTGGAGTGCAGTGGTGAGATCACAGCTCACTGCAGCCTCCAACTCCAGGGCTCCAGTGATCTTCCTGCCTCAGCCTCCCGAGTAGCTGAGACTATAGATGTGGCCACCCCCAGCTGTGACCAGTTAATTTTTAGAAGTAGTTAGTGATTTGGGGCTCACCTTGTCTTCTAGGAATAGAGTGACTTGCTTACTGGGCATAGGTGGTCCAGGGTGTGGCCCAGCGGGGTGTCTGACTGCTTCTCTCCCCTGCCCCCCCCAGCTTCAGAGGCTTCTCACTGTCATTGCAGAGAAAGGACCTTGATAAGCCTTGGTCATCTTTCCTGTCTCCTGCAGCTGAGCGCTGGCTGGCTGTGGGATTTGGGGTTGGGGACTCAGTCAGGGCTGCCACGCAGCCCTGGCTGCCCCTTGCTGTGGAGGAGGCACGGTGGCGAAGGGCTCGCCTGCTGCGGCCGCAGGTCTGTCATCTGCTGTCTCTGCTCCAGGTGGCTGGGCTGACGTTGCTGGCCGTCGGGGTCTATTCTGCCAAGAACGCCACGGCGCCAACCCACTCCTCTCGGTGAGGAAACTGGCCCTCCGGGGACCCTGGGTCAAGCCCACACTTGCATGCCCGGCAGGTTCCAGAGTCTATCACCCTTTTGCATCGTTCCTAGCTGTCACAGCCACGTCGAGCGAGGAAACACCGGTGGCGGAGGTAACACTTCAGAGGTTACATGCATCAGTCCTGGGCTTGACCAGTGGGAATTCACTGACTGCCAAGAGTCCTGATTCCTTCCTCTTGCCTGCCCCATCGTGGGACGGGCAAGGCGTAGCCAGAAACGGTAGATCGTTTGTTCGGTGGTTGCTAGCCTAATTTTCTACTTAACGAGGGAAGACATATTTGAGTTAATGGCTTTAACGAGAAAATATACAGATTTGCACTTATTATTGGAAAACGTGAGTGTTTCCATAGCAAGCGGTCGGTAAAAGCGACAGGCCAGACGGTGCTGACCCAGCCTGGTGACTCTCCCTGACCCAGGGCCTCATGGTGGTCAGCAGTCTGACTATTTTCTCTGGCCCAGGTTTCTTCCCCCTAACCTTCCTTTCTGCCTTGGCTTAAAGGATTGTATCAGTTGTGGTTTAAGTGTTCAGGAGCCTGGGACGTATAAGATTGAATAAACACTGATTGATGGATACAGTGGTTCTCATTCTTTTGTTATAAGCAGGGGCTTCTTTTCTTCAAAGATCCTGTGGGGAAGCCTCGGTAAGAAGCAACTATACCAGAGTTTTCCTGTTTAAGACAGGCAGAGGTCCTGGCACTTGTTGGAAGGATTCCTCCTCCCCTTCCCCAGGGGCCTACAAAAATGCCCTGGACAGTGGGCCTCGGGTCTGGCTGAGGACATCTAAGATATTAAGATTAAGGCCCAGGACCAGCCAAACATATTATTAGTCCTGGCTGGGCTCCCTTGCCCCCAGGTGGTTTGTGTTTTGTTTTTCTAAGAGACTTGGTCCTGGATATGTTGCCCAGGCTGGCCTCGAATTGTGGGTGGCAAATGATACCTCCTGCACCCAGCATCCTGAGTAGCTGGGAGCGATAGACATATGCCCCCTGTGCCTGGTTTGCCCCTAGCTGTTTTAAGCTTGCTAGATAATTTAATGTTCAGGTTGGGGATGGGATCAAGGCTGGGCTTTCAAAGTACTTAAGACTATGGCAGTGTTGACAGATGAGCCATTTCTTGTTACAGCGTTAGCTGGGGACCGCTTTTTGTCCCAGCTCTTGAGGGTTTACCCACTAACCATACCTAGAGTTTGAAAGTCTCCCCGCTATTGAAAGCTGAATCTACCCGTGCATCCCCCCACCCCCATGTAGTATGCTGGTTTCTGTGAGTGGTCGGAGGTGCATCTGAGAGGAAAGCTGGGGGCTTCCTCTCCATCCTGCCTCTGAATTGTTCCCAGTCCTGCCGCCCCCACGAGCTCCTGCCCTGGGACATTGTCCACCTGGATCTCCAGTGCTTGGCCTTACTCTCCCAACTGAGCCCCTCCATTTCCCAGCCCATGCAGGGTATCCTGCGGAGCCTGGGATGCCCAGTCTGCAGGCCTGGCCCCCACCTCGCCAGTCTTCCCTTCCTGTGGATTCTGTGCCAGGTGTGGGTTTTTTTCATTCCTGCCG